AACTTTTCGAGATTGACCCTCGAAATGTCAATTCGATTTTTCTTTTGCTCGTCGGTTAACATTCTGGGTACCCAACGCGTAGAGACCTTTTTCATATGCAACTCGTTCGCAAGGATTCTTTGAACGCTGCCACATGAGATCCCTGTGACCTCAGCTACATGCCTGATGGTCAGTCTTCGATCTGCCAACACAACATCTTCGACTTTTTTCACGTTGTCTTCAGTGAGGAACGTGGATGGGCGTCTTTCGCGATGTTCATCTTCAGTGGATGTTCTGCCCAGTTTAAACTCCTTGGCCCAGCGTGCAACTGTAGAATATGGAGGAGCAGAGTCCCTCAATGTTTCCACTAAGTCACTGTGTATGTCTTTTGAAGACATTTTTTTCAAACAGAGGTATTTGATACATATACATAACATGTACATAAACACTCACGCCTGTCACCCAGAGGGGTAGGCAGAGACTACAGACTTCCATTTGGCACGATCCTGACACACCTCTCTCGCCTCCTTCACATCCATACACCTCCGCATACATGCTCGTCGGTTAAGGGTACTCCTAATTTGGCCCGTTTTCAATAAATCGCCAATTTGGTCGATAAATTTTCGCCTAGGACGTCCCTTTCCGACTCTGCCATTCACTTCTGCAACATAAATTTTCTTTGTCACTCTTTCCTCATTCATTCTTTCCACATGACCAAACCACCGAAGCATTCCTTTCTTAATCCTGGTCACAACATCATCTTGCAAACCACACTCTTCTCTTATTACACAATTTCTTACCCTGTCATTAAGATTCAGCCCTAACATACTCCTTAACGACCGCATTTCTACTGCGTTTATTCTACTCTCGTGCTTCTTCTGCCACACCCAACTTTCACTACCATATGTTAAAGTAGGGACCAACACAGCATTGTGAATTGTCATATGTGCCTTTTTCGACACATTTTGACTTCACAATAGAGTGCAAGGCCCCATTTACTCTATTTCCCGCATTCACTCGTCGTTCTATATCCTTATCATATCTCCCATCCCTGCTAAATACGCAGCCCAAATATACAAACTCATCTACATGCTCGATCAACTCCCCTTCTATTCTTATTTCACAAATCGTTTTACTTTCTTCTCTTTCAAAAACCATAACCTTCGTCTTACTTGCGTTCACTTTCATACCCCTTTCTTTTAATGATCTGTTCATTAATGTAACCATCATTTGCTCGGCTCGGCCGCCGACGACGCAAGTATAACTTGATCATCGGCGTACAAAAGGCATTTGACGGTTAACTCACCCATTCTTAATCCGCATTCTTCAACTTTCAAATTTTGCAAACAACTGTCCATAAATAGGTTGAACAGCCACGGGGAAGCTACACAGCCCTGTCTGACACCTTTATGGATGTCAAACCAGTCCGAGTAGACCCCGTTGATCCTAACACAAGCACTAGAGTCCCTATAAAGGGACTCCAATGCCCGTATCAAGCCAGCGCTCAACCCAAATGAGTTCAGTGTTTGCCATAGCACATCCCTATTCACTCTGTCATAGGCCTTTTCCAAGTCCATGAACGCACAAAAAACCTTTTGGTTTTTGGCCAAAAACTTCTCCGCGATCATGCGCATGGAAAAGACTTGATCTGTACATCCCATTCCCTTTCTAAATCCTGCTTGCACATCCCAAATTTTTCCATCAGTTTCTTTCATGACCCTTTCAATCAGTACCTTAGCATACAGTTTTCCCACAATGCTAAGAAGGCTGATGCCACGGTAGTTTTTACAGTCCTGCTGCGACCCTTTTCCCTTATATACTGGGACTATCACGGCTTTGCACCAGTCTACCGGTACCCGCTTCAGTTCCCAGCATAAATTAAACAAGGTGTGCAGCAGGCCTGCCACCACTTCCTCTCCAGCCCTTAGCATTTCGAGTGAAACTCTATCATATCCGGCAGCCTTACCTGCTTTCATGCTTTTCATTGCTTTCATTATTTCACCTACACTAATCTCGCTACCTCTTTCCTCTTCTTTCGGAATTTCTACTTCACTTAGTACACACGTTGTCTCCTCACTCATAAACACACTTTCAAAATATTCCTTCCATCTCTTTAAACTCAAAACTTCATCATTCAGAATATAGCCATTCTCGTCTCTTATAGCATTCATCATAGGCTGTTTTGAATGTCCCCTGGCAGTTCTTACAAGTTTCCAGAACATTTTAATATTTGCCTGGAAATTATCCGATATTCTTCTATCATTCTTATCCGTTCTTTCTTGCTTTTTTCTTTCAACTACTTCTTTTACTCTCTTATTAAGATGTCTAAAGACTGCCTTTTTCTTTCAATATCATCATTCGTACCGCTAGAATTACCAGCCTTTGTTGCTAGTAAATCTAGCCATGCTCTCTTCTTTGCTTCAACTTCCATACGTACCTCATCATCCCACCATAACGTATTATTTTTCCTTTCATTCTTTCTCTTACTAACACCACATACTTCGGTAGCTGCATCCACTAAACCTTTCTTTACATTTTGCCATACATTCTCCAAGTCTAACTCCTTCATACATAATTCATCCAAACCACTTATATTTTCTTTCAGTCTACATTTGAACTTCTTTTTCTCACCTTCATCTTGTAACCTTTCTGTTCTAATACGCTGTAACGCAGTGGTAGACACAGATGACCGATGGCGCCAACGCCTGAATAGACCATTAATTCGGCATAGAACCAAATAATGATCCGTTCCTACGTTAGAACCCCGGTAAACCCTTGTATCTACAACTGCGCCCCTCAATCTTTCATCCACAATTATTAAATCTATCATGCTTCTATCGTCACCTCTTTCCCAAGTATACATGTGAATCCTCTTGTGGCGAAAGCAAGTGTTCGTCACAAAAAGATTCTTTTCCATACATACGGTGAGGAGACTTTCACCATTCTCATTTATACTTTCATCACCAAACGTTCCCAATATCCTTTCATAACCAAGCCTCCTCACCCCAACCCTTCCATTAAAATCTCCTAGCATAATAATATTTTCATTTCCCTTACACTCCATTAACACCATCCTTACCATTTCCCAAAACTGCTCTCGGATATAAGTGGGCTTAGACATGTCTGGGGCGTAGACCCCTAACACAAACAACTTCTTTAAGCCCACTTTCATTCGTATCCACAGCAGTCTTGGGCTTACACATTCATACTCTTTCACACATTGGCCCATTCTTTCTGAAAGGATGATACCTACTCCCTGGCATGCCCGCTCGATCTCGTCTACACCAGACCAGTATGCGGTATACATGCCATGTGTAGTGACATCCTTTCCCTTCCTTTTCGTCTCATTTACACATAACACATCTATTCCTCTATCATTCATCATATCGCATACTTCATCCATTTTATCATTCATTGCCCCACATACATTCAACGTAGCCAGACGGACCTCTGCAATCCACTTTTCGCCTCTCCGGGAGACAGAACGTGACGGGTGGCGAACCTCGTCGCCGGTTTTCCTCCCGGAGATTCTTCGCACCCCTGCCCCATTAAAGGGGCGCCGGGAACTCGGGGCCATTTCTATTATATTGTTCCTCATGGTGCGGATAAAGGGTGGTATATTTTACGCCTCTACCAGGGCGTGGAGCCGAGTCTGTGCTATCGGCTTGTCGCTCATTTAGCACCACCCGGGGGACACGTGTAGGGTGGGCCTAGGAATAGGTGGTCAGAGCCTACGGACGCGAGCGACTTATCCCCGTATTTGATAACAGCTCTAATTTCGTTTTTCTCCATGTTGATGTTATCTCTTTGACAGTTCGTATTCAAATGTATGTATCTCCCGGAAATCGTGATCTATTTATATGATTTTTTAGGCTGACGTAGTGAGTATATAAGCAAGCAAAAAATATTTTTTTTGGATTTTGATTATTATGCGGACCTGAAGTAGCCGATTATCATTACTTTTGGATCTCCCCTCGTATACCCCGTAGTTATAGTGCCGCAACGCTTATTTAACGGTTTTCTATGGACACTTCTTAATACACAGTCTGTACTCCTTACTTCTACACTCCATAGTTCTTCTGCTTTCTAGTTGGCGCCAAACTTCTCTACCAACATTAAGACACAACATTTAATTTTTGACAAACAGTGCTGACAATATAGGCAAATTATAATAGCGCTGTAAATGTCTATTCTTGAATAATTTTATCGATATAATGTTTGTCGATATATTGTTTATTGGTATTTTTATATAATAAAAGTTAGATTAACCTTTGAGCAAAGTTGCTACCGACTTTGAGCTACATACTTCAAGCACTGATTTAAATGACTAAAATGCATTTTAGGAAGAAATGCGGGATATTACGTTTGTACACTTATGTGCTGCTCAGCGAAAGGAATTTAATAACATAAACTTAAAATGAAGAAAATTCAAGAAACCAATGCCAAAATTGACTGTTTTATTGAAGACTTGCATACAGAAAACGCAGAACTACAAAAGAAAATTGAAAATTTGGAATAACAGAAAAAAGAAGATGCAAAATAAATAATCACCAACGAAGATAAGATTGAAAATATGCAAAAAAGTCACATGGAATAAAAACTGTCCTAGAATTGGATAAAGAGACAAAAGAAAACCTGATTAAACTGGTTACCTGTCTATCCACCACTGTGGGCGCAAATCGGAAATTAAGGATATATACAGAGTTAGCGGTAAAAAACAGGGTGTCTCCAATGCACCTATCGTTGTAGAAACGACTTCTACCCTACATAAGACCGAAATATTACAGAAATGTAGGGTACTATATAAGATGACAGAAATTGCTTTATTGAAATTAGCTATATTCAAAAGCCCTATTAATATTTTGCAATATTTGTGATAAAATAATAGCTTAAGGTTGATAGTAAAAATTTATGAGCGAAGCTCAAGGTTCAAATATTGCAGAATGGCAAGCGCAGCAGCAACACCAAGAAGCTGCTGGTGAGAAAAAGAAAATGACTCTGTTTCAACAGTCGTGGATGGAATGAAATGGTTGTTCAACTTTCATGAAGGAGCAATCGCTGCTTATAGTAACGTGTTTGAAAGTTTGGTAAGTGTTAGTAGTAAGTAGTTTAGTAACACTATTGGAAAATCAGGTAATATGTTTGGCATAAAATTTCTTGAAAGTCTTGGAATATTTTTTAGGTAGAGGAGGGGAAGATATCGTCAGAAGGAATGGATGTGGATCATGGTGATGAGGGATCTCACTCAGATGATTACCCTCATGCCAATAATGAAATAGCTTATAATGCTGATGGTTTGCAAGACATGTATGATGCCTTTAACACAAAGAACAAAACAAAACTTCGCGCGTAACACCTGGAACTTTTAGTAAATTAAGAGACCCCTATCTTTGTCTCGGAGCAATTGACACACAAGGTTGCGCAATTATAGTTTCTTGCACGGAATCTAATAAAGTCAACAGATTTATTTTTTTTGCTGGACTGCCTACAGAAATGTCTACATAAGAAAGGACGAGAACTCTCCAATAATGACAGTCATTAATGAAGCTCCAATAAAACAGCGGTAACATATCAAGTCATTTAGACTAGATATGTTTACAGCCTGTAATATTAGTGTTCATATTTTTTGTATATTTATATTGGTATCTTTGATTCTGGTATTGTGTAACACTGTAACCTCTCAATACCCTAGCGTTCTCATGAGACCGCGGCCATATTCCATCAAATCCCAGCGGTCTCATGAGACCGCACGCACCCGCAGTACTTTGACTCATAAAAACTTATATATAGAGACTACTTTTCTAAGAAGAAGTTTGGCATTATTGAATCAATATGAAAATTTATATCCTCTAGTGCAATAAAAAACAGTTATCTAATGGATATTTATTTATAATCTACGTTCATTTCGTATGCCATTATCGCGTGAATATTATTGTGTTGATTTTTGGATTTTCCTAGTGTTTTAGTATAGTGTTTTATTATAAAATTGTAATGAAAGTTTTTGTGTGAATATAATTTATCTTTTTACGTAAATAATTTCGAGGAATATATATTGAAATAATTGTGATTTTCACGCTGCCGACATTTGCTTGCATGCGACTGCATGGGATTTTTATTGCGATTGAAGGGGTAAATATAGTTTTCATTGTTCATATTTTTTGTATTTTTATTTTAATATCTTTGATTTTAGTATTGTGTAATACTGTAATCAATCTCAGCCTAAACACACTATCCCTTGCAGTAAATTCGCATTCACATGCACACACTCCCACATGCATAACATACACACTCCACACTTACTCAAACTTTCACACTCACACATTAGTCATATACATAACAAAGTGTATCTTTTACTTTGCAAGCTTTTATCCAATTGTGCTGCATATAACCAGTGGCGAAGCTTCCATAGAAGCCAAAAAGCCAGACTTGAAATGTGAAGTGAACTTCCAGCCTGGCTTTTTGGTTTTTTTTTGTTGTGTCTGTTGAAAATGTATGCTTTTTCAAAGATTTTTACTGAAAATGTATGATGATAGTGTTCCTTGTGATAAGTTGAAGTGTGCTAAAGTGCTAATCGGCGAGGAAAAGGTAAAATCTTTAAGCTTTGTTGAGAAAATATACAAGGTCAAGAGCGTCTTTCGGACTTATCAATTATCACAATTGAAAAACAGTTATTGGTACAATTAAAACGTTCACCAACATTTTACGCGGACGTAATCAAATCTTTCCTTAAGAAAGCGAGACCATTCAATTTAGAATATAAATATTTTTTTTTTAATTTTGTGCATAGTTTGTTTGTACTTTGTTCATGTAGTATTGTAAATATAAAAATAAATATCTTTTTCTTTCGCTCGAGCAAACCAAAACGGCTTTTTTCAAAGCCACCGAAGGTATGCAATTGGTGATACGTCATACAATCTATCTATCAGTAGTATGCCCTCTGTGTTTTGTTAAACACGTCCTTGACAGCATTGAATATGAAACTGAAGAGTGAAGACAGATCAAGATTGGTGTATTTTTATAAAACTGCTAAAAATAACAAAACCATATCTTGGGCTTGCCCTAGTTTGGAGCCCTAACTTCGCCACTGCATATAATTACTCCATCATAAAACGAAATACAGCCTCAATCGATACAGATAAAGGATGGATAACTTTAGAAATCTAAAAGACTTAGATGACATCACAATTGCAAAGTCTGTAACGTCTGACATAGTGGATTTAAATAAACATATTTATAAATCTTAGTAAAATTTACCTAACAATAATTCAACAAAATATAAGAAGTATTTGTTGTTTTTTAAATCGATAGTACACTACACATCATATAACTACACGATTTCTGACACTACGATTAAGTACGACGTGCCCCAGGGTAGCGTTTTATGCCCTACAGTAAAGTAGCCCCTATTACTCTCTGTAGAATTCTTTTAAGTAGGCGTCTATTGCAAGCCCACTCTACATATTTTTTTACCTTTTATACGTGGAAGAGTCATGCTGCAGTTATATTAGTAGTATAGTTGTAGCACAAATAGGTCAGCTCGACCGGGGAAGAACCACGTTTTCACAGAATACTAGCGTAATGTTTCGTATGATGAGTGTAGAGAACCGGAGACTTAGTCCTCTTGGGTGACAACGCATCTGCATTTTGACTTGTAATCGAGGATAGATGTGATGTCTATGGGCCGTAGCAATCACTTACCATCAGGTGGACTATGTGCTAGTTTATCACCCTATCCTATAAAAAACCTACCTTTATAATAAGCTTCACGACAATTATAAATTATATGACCATCAATTTCATAACTTAAAAAAAAACAATAATTCAAGGACTGGAGACACTTGGGTACTGTTATACAGAGGACTTATCATTTAAATAGCCTAATGTTCAATTAGGCTCTAAAAATGATTTCTAGTGGTTGACTTACCCATACCAAGATATTATACATCGTAAGGCTAGAGGTTTTAGATAAAAGCACAGCTCAGCATAAGATACGAACATTCAGGATAAGAAAGTATGTTCTTACTACCGTTTAGGCCCCATAGTTATCTAACATGTAAACTTGTACCACAACTCACTAATCCCAAGATATAATGTCGTAGGGATAGTATATACACTATTTCAGTTGTTATTTATACAAACTATATATTAAAGTTATATAGTATATAGTTTCGTAAATATACCATCTCTAACTCGTAGGCTAGAATTCTAAATTTCACTAATGTACTCTCTAAAGATTCTTAAACTGACCTCAAGATTTTGATATCGTAGGGCTAGATTGTTACACGGTATAAAGATTATACGTCGTAAACTAAATTAACAGGCGAAAAACTCTCACTTACACGTGAGAAATAAAAAAAATTCACCCACACATTATATTATATTCATACATACTACACATTATATTCATATACACTCTACACATGTTAAACACACACACTACACTTACACTATACACACACTTTATAGCTTTATACACGTACGCTCACTTAACATTTAATTATAATACATGGGAAGAGTGAAAACACCAAATATTTTACAAGTTTCCTGGGTGGTTCTGGCCACGGCATAATACTGTAATCAATGTTAAGGAAAAAAAAAATTCTTTTTTATTTTTTTTATGATAAAACTTTTGGCGTAGTTAAGTATAGATATTTGTTAATGCTCCTGAAGTGTCACTAGACGCCCGCGCATTAGACGCGCAGTGCAGTGTGCCACGATAGTATAAATTCCATATTATTTGATACTCAGTATGCTCGATGCCCGATTCATGTTTGATGTCCGACGATAGTGTGCCGAGGGCTTGATAGCGTGGTTCTTCGCCTACAGCGTCAGTCGTAGAGAAAAGGACATCTGCGCGGACAATAAATCTGCGAAATTAAGCTGCACTTGCCGCAGTCAGTCCATGTATGGAGTTCATCTGTATGCTCAGACTATCGGTGCAGTTTAATATCTCCTGCGATTTGGATCATTATGTTTTTGAAATTCATGCAGCTAAAATGATAATAAGCTTATTATTCTTTTGTACTTTTCAGGGACAGATGAAAGTGAGAGTATCTTTATAAACATATTGGCCTTTAAACAGAACAATCTTATTTATCTTATTCCTCAAGTTTCTTTACTTAAATTATTAAGTATACATTTTTATTTAAGTCGAATGTTAAAATAAATTTCTATTATGTATTTAATTATTAAATGTTTCTAATTATTAAAAATACATAAATGAAAAATAAAGCAAGCCATTGTGTACTCCGTGTCCCCGTTTTTTATTTCACCAGTTAAACACTATATACAATATAAAAAGTATATCTTCCACCATCTATATATATTTGATTAACATTATGTTAAAATAATAAATTCTAAACTGTCCATGGCAGTAAATGTTTTTCTCCAAAGTACAACCACTTAACAAAAAATACAACTTTCCGATCTGATTCTTGGAGAAAATTTTCAGATATTATTAAGATTTAGTACATTTTACAAACGCGTGACTAATTTTGATTTGACATTGAGTGCGGTAACTAGTGATGTATATTTTACCTATATGGAATATGAAGTTTCCTTAAATGATTTCAGTGTGGTCACAATAATGCAATTTGATATGCTAAGGGAACGGAAAAAAGTTCAACAAAATTAGTTGGTCATACACGAAACTGATTAACTTCAAAAATTTACTGATTTTCTACCATGATAGTTTTCCAAAATAAATAATTACATTTTTTATTTATTCCAAAAACAAGTCAGCTGGAATAAGCTATATCTGTCTGTCTTTTGTTGACTTTTAAATGTATGAAATCCCAATAATCTCCAGAGACGAGAGTCTACCGACAAAATTAATACATTCACTGCCCAAGAATATTGACAAAATAATCACTCCCAAGACCGAATATTTTTTTCGTTTGGATTTTAATTAGGTTTTAATTAAAACTTGTACTATTTAAATAACAAGTTTTTATTGTTATTATTGTTAAAAATACTCTTTTCAGATCCGAGTACTTGGCCTACAGCAATGCTTAGAGCCAAATACTCGTATCCTATTGTTGACGTAGTATGCTTAGATTATTAGGCTAAATTTGTATTTTTTACATAATATATTGAAATTTTATGGCCTTGTTTTATTGAAATGAAATAAACTCCTGATAGTTTGACAAATTATATTGAAAAAGTAATTAACGATATGGGAAATATTAAAAAGTAGTTAAAAATCGAAGAACAAAACAACGAAAACTACAAGTCTACTGTCATTGCGAAGTATGAAATTTCTTTTTTTTTAATTTAATTGTGCTTGACAGAAACACTCTGTGCAGAGTCCTGGGGAACCATCACATTGCTTGCATTCGTAAATTGTTTGCACCC